TTCAGGAAAAACTAAAAATGTATTCAACAAAAAAAATGGAAGAAAAATTAAGTTAAATAAAAACAAAAATTGTAAACAGTTAATCTATCTAATGTAGCAATGTTTAAACAGTCCACCTTCTTATGAGCTAAACAATGACCTAAACGATCATAGAAGGCTCTACGAACATTATTTAGCATCACAGGGGTGATAGTTAGGTATTTTTCTTGAATTTTGAAATGCGGCTGCTCTCCTGAAAACCATACATTTTTGATTTGCAATAACCCCAGAGAAAATAATCGTTGGTTGCAAGATCGGAAGAGCGGGCTGGCCACAGTATTGTAGCTCTTGACCCAGGAATGAGACGGTTCGGAAAAGTAATATTCAAATAGTTCAAAATGAAACCCGTATTATGTATATGAGCTGGACGACAATCTTGTTGTTGAAACCATGTTTCGTCAAATCTAAGACCAGCTAATCTTCTAATTTCTGGAACTATTTGCCGTTGCAAAAGATCCAAATATTTTTGACCAGTTGAATTACTGTCAATGAAGTATGGCCCAATAACATGCTCTCCATATAAATTCTTCCAGACATTTACCTTTTGGGGAAGCTGGGTTCTAAGTTCAAAATACCTGTGTAAATTTTGCTTAGACCAATAACAGGTGTGACTAATTAGGATTATGTCGATTATGGAGTTGAAATGTCGACTCATCTGTGAAGACAATTTTTTTAAGAAAATCTTCATTTTCCTTATTAATGACAGTTTCACAAAACCATTTGCCTGATGTTGTCTTCAGGATCAATTTTTTGGGAGTTTCGTAGGTACTTTGTACGAATGATACTTATTTTTTATCAGTTGTCTCCTCACTGTCCTTGTACTTAAGTCAATCTCGTGCGCAAGCGCACGAGTCGATATAGTTGGAGTTTCGTTAACTAATGTCGACAACATAATTTCATTGGCTTCTCGATCTTCATTATTTTCCTGGACGTCAATGCGTTTATGGTTTCGCGGAGAAGCGCACCCGTATTTTTGAAAATTATCAACGATCCTGAAAATGGTCTTTCAGGATAATTTTGACCGAATAAATTTCGACCTTGTTGTAATGAATTACCGCAACCACTGAAGAATTTTGACTTTTACAAAAATTTCATAAACTTCTATTTTAATATCTTTAAACTTTAAATGATGGGGTTTTTTTGAGTGACAGGTTTTTTTAAGTTTCTTTTTTACCTGGTTGTCGCCAGGTTAGCACTAAATGAATTTGTCATTTTCTGGCATGCGGACGCTTGCAAATTTGTCAGGTTACATATACCTAGTAGCTTGCCCCTTACTGTATATCGTTACAATCACAAAAAAACATCTAATTTAACGGTGTAAAAATATATAGGGTGTCCCATTCAAAAAAGTTAAAATTTGGACTATATCTCAAAAAATGATACCCCTAAAAAAAACTGATTACGCCACTGGATTCTACATAAAAAATCACACAAAAACGTAATTTAACATTTTCTAAAATTTTTGATAACAACTGAGATACAGAGGAAAACGGAAATCAGCAATTTTTCAAAAAACCCCTTTATATCGAAAACAAATGAATTCGAAAAATTCTGAGTGGTCCATTAAACTGTACCTATATACTCAAAAAAATGGATCGCGACACGTATATTAGATTTTTTGTATCTATCACCGTTTAGGCTGTACACAGCATTCCTACCCAAAATGACTCACCCTGTACAACTGAACGTACTAACAATTAATAAACAATTACATTAATTTTATAACAACTGTAGTTCAAAAAATACAACAAATAAACAAGGTAAAAACCATGTTTCTAAAGGCAATCTTGGAACTCAACAATGGCAACGAAAATCTGACAACGTTACAATATTTACTAATTTGCAGAACATATTGCCAAAGTCTTTGCTAGTTGTAGCGAATGACGTCATATTGGGCGGGTGTTTCGGGCGTTTGGAATGCTGCTGGATTTATATTTTTTATGAAAAATTAACAACAACTCGAATGTTTTTCAAATTAAGTGTTGATATACTTAGTTTGTGTTGGAAAATTAGAAAACAAAAATCATTAAACCTCCCCATAAAATCAGTCTGCGAAACAAAAATGGGAAAACAGCAATTTCTTTTTAGGTCGCCAGAAGAGTACAAAAAACAGGACAGTAAGATATAACATCAAAGAGGAAAACAAAAGGAACAACAGCTCAAAATATATTGGTGGCTACAATGTCAGTGTTGGTGTAAAAGCTGCCAGTCATCAAAAGTAAATACTTCAATAGACATTTAATGATGATATTGACAACAATAACAGTAATAGCTACAAAAAGCTTTTCAAATGCCACCATTCGATGAAATATTTTCGTCTGTTCCCTGGTCAAATGAAAAAGAAATTTAATATGTCCCCTATGTTACTCCCCAAATTCCTTTTCGATGATTACACGCACATGCTTTGAAGATTTTTTTTCTGACCGTTCTATGATTCATTTTGGTAATTCCCTGGAATTTCTTTCGAAACCATGAAAATATAGTATCTTATTTTACTTTTCATTGATTCTGTTAAGTGCAATAATAAATAAATAATCATTATCTACCTGAGTGCAAATTTATTTATAATGACATACCATACCAGTTACTTTTATGTAAGTTTTCGGAGAACTCAAAATATTACCTATTTATACAGATAATTTAAAAAGTCCAAAGATTAGTCATAGCCCTGTTAATCATATTATTTTCAATTTCAATGATTAGTAATAATTTATTATTGAGTGTTATGTAGTACCTACTGAAATATTTCTAGAGAATGTCTGGATTTTTTTTTAAAACCACTTCAAATTGTCCACATTTTTTATGTACATGTATTGTATATTCCAGTACCTACCTACAATAATTATTATTCTGAAATGCCGAAGTTTTGTTTTGTTGTGGTTACCTGTTTAGTTTTCATGGTGCAGTTTTTGAGCGAGTTCTAGGGTATTTATTATTATTATAGTACAAGTTATAGTAGGTACAAGTTTGATGCATTTCCTAGAACAGCCATAGCTTTTAAAAGTGAAGCAGATTTGAATAAAACTTCTCGCTGTCTGGAAACATTTTGGATAAGATTAGTCGAGTGGCCTATTAAAACTTCTGGAAACTTGAAAAGATAAATTTATCTAATAATCTTTTCCAATCAAATTTTAACAAGTGCACTATCATCCAAAAATGGAAATGAGTTTTTGAATATGAAATATTGCCAATATTTTACATTTCAAATAGATATGCATGGATCTATTTTACCCATGTGGCAATTTGAAATAGAGGTGGCTCAGGAACGAAATATTAAACATATTATTGAATGGATGTTCTCTTATATTCTCAAAAACAGACATAATTATGATCTTAACAAAACTAATAGAAGAAATTAATTAGAATTTTGCGTGAAATCCAAAAATAAATAATATAGGTACAGGAGGATAGTTTCATTTGAAATTCGAATGTTGCCATTGCTTGAATCAAATTTAAAAAATTCACCTTCTTAGATCTCAACAATTTCAAGTAGGACTCAATTTGACATTCAGTCAGGTGATCCATAAAATTTCAGTCATAAAATCACGCGAAATCGCAAAGCCTACTGTTGCGTACATGGTCATAAAAATTATATTATTTTGCAGTTGATGTTAGCACGTCATTTATTGGTCGATAAGCGGTGATAATACAAAATTCTGCCTCAATCTGGCTTTAGCGAATCTTGCTTTCCCTTGAATTTTGCGGACCTATCAAAAGATATCTCCTTACTGTTACCACAATTAAACTCCTGCTGGCTATAAAATTCATTATCACTTTCTGCTTCGTTTAGCTCTGATTTTTGTCTATGTGGACTTTTTATTTATTGACGTACGTTAATAATATTTTGTGGGCATATCAGGAAATGTTCAAAGGATCTAATGATACTAGAATTGCCTGCCCATATAGTTTGAGAATAAGTTAATTTTTCCTAAGTTTAACTCTGATTTTTGTCCTTGTAGACACTTTATTTATTGGCGTTTCTCAATGATATATTTTGGAAAAATCACGGATTATTCAGTGGTACCGGAATTGAATGCCTCTCCGTCAGAGGAAATGTCCATCAAGTTTATTGAGACTTTTTTCTATGATATGATAAGATTATTGAAACTTCAAAGTCGTTTCCTGAGACCCATATAAATACATTGATTGTTAAGTAGTTGCAGCAAGAGAAAAGAGGATGTTGGACAAACCTAAACACCGGATTACATGCCATTTTCAGAAACTTATAATTTGGTAAAGGAAATAGTAATGAGAAAATAATTTCACATTAAGCACACGAAAGGAATTTGAATCTATTCAGAATTGACATCATGAAAATATAAAATTTCATCTAAAATATGAAAAATTAATGAGGAAACGGACAGGAAAATCTGCAGGCACTCAATAATGGGTTGCACGCAATTTCTAGGCTCAATGTACGCAAAGGTGTATTTAGGATGTCTCAGACTTATTATTGGAAGAACAATATATATACAGAATTAAGTAATCAATGGCTCTCTAGCCCCTCCATAAGAAATATAGCAACAATGGAAAATATATATGAACAACTTCAATCCAACTGAAGCATAAGTTAAAGGTTTATAGTCACAAGAATGAATTATTGTTTCAAATTATTGATTATATTCGTAGAAATTGAGGGTATCTTTTGTTTTACTCTACCAAATATTCCCATTCTTACTTATAATTTATTTTTGGAGTTTGTGTGAAAAACAGTGTGCGTAAGTACTTCAAAAGAGGTAGTGTAACATTTATAAAAAGGTGTTTCTTCTGAATCTTCTCTTGGCGTTTTCTACATTCATTATGGGTATTTACCCAAATTTTTCAGGAACACAGTAGGCAAATGAGTCGAATTATGTCGCCAGTGTCAATTTTGAAAGAAGTTGCGCAAAAAACGGTACACAAATCACACAGACAACATACAAAATTTTCAGTGTAGACTTTTTCCCCAATAAAAAACTTACCGTGTGTGGATCCCCAAATTTAGATACATCACGTTTATCCAGCGGTATATGATTCGAAGGATGATTTCCCATTGTAACAAACCAATCAAAAAAATAGTTTATAACAAATAAAACGTCATAAATCCTCAACAGCACTTCACACAACACAAGAAACACACGTCCTCCGAGTTGGTCCCACTGACAGATGTGCCTCCGCAGCAACAGATGCTCAATGAAGGGTGGAACACTCAAATCCGTAGTTATAATACGGCTCGAAGGACCAAAAATTCCTTTGGACCACGCGATATTTGCAAAATTTTTAACATTCAAGAGAACTACTGGAAACGGCTACAGGTATTGGAGGTTTCTTCTTTTTTCTATATATAAGTATTAGTATCCTTTCCTTCTTAAACAGCACTGGTCGGCCTTGGAAATTCTTGAGGTCAGCACCACCGATAACGACGAATGTAAAAGATGCAGTTTATCTCGCTTGTGATAATCGCCCACAAAAAACTATATCTTTTTATGCATCCTTAAAAGAGATTTCAACTTGTCAGTAAGCGAGTAACCAAGTAACGGTCATAAAAGTCCCTAACGAATTTCTTTGAGAAGATTTACTTTAAAATTAAAAAAAAAAAATTCACATAAATCATAACGAATTAGCAATAAAGAAGCCGAAATGAAATTTAAAACGCGTATCGGTCCAAAACCGTAGAACCTTTTTATTACAGGAACATCGCGACCATCCGGATGGACTGGTTGACGGTGACGGTTGAAAGTTGAATAGAGAATACCCACATAAGGGTCCTACTACCAATCCTGAATATATCGGGCGCAGGTAAACGCACCTATACCTATGTAACTAGCAACGGATTTTGATGACACTTACATAATCACGTTTAAATAAAAATGCCGCTGATAGTTCCCTTCCTAACGAAAGTTCGCAGACAGAGATAGACGATAACATTTACGCCACCGTTAGACGCTAAGGTATACCTACCTATTTATATTGTAGTGGATCGGGTATACTCGGTAGGTAACCCGATCTGCGCAATGTGCTTTTGTTGGAATATCCTATTTTTTGACTTGACTGACTTCATTTGATACAGGCTCGCGGTACTGCTAGGGTACGGCTTATAATAATAATTATTGTTATTATCTCGTTTGTTATACTAAGCGGTGCGATAATTGATGAGAATTCGTTTAAAAATTACTAGCAAAAGCGAAAGTTCATTAGACAGGAGGATTTGTTAAGGAGAATATTTGATATTTTATGTTGTTAGTTGTATTGAAAAAAAATCTTGATGTTGAGTTTGAGCTGATTCAGGTTAGATCGAATCCAGCAGCAATCAGTTTTTTTAATTGAAAAGTTTTAAAAAAGAGTAGATACACTTTTCTCTCTCTCAGAAAAGACTATTCTGACGGACGACAAAATGTGAAACCCAATTTGCTTTCAAGAAAAAAAGTTTCAGATGTGAACCTACCTACACTATGGACCAAAGTTCCACATTTCAATTCTACTTTTGGAAAGTTAGTTGGACACTATGCTCTGGACCTCGACTTTTTGTAAAATACTACATTTACCGTCGTTGCACGAGAAATTTGGTTTACTCATATTTGCGCTGATATATTTTTTCGAAAGCTGAACTATCGGAGATAAACATTCTACAGCGAAACTGGGAATTGAGAAATTTAACTTCTTTCCTTTGGGAAGGGCGTGGCAGTGTTTTTGGATACCGTCAGCAAACTTAAAAAGCAGCAGAAAACTAAAGATTATTGATCCGGAGAAGCTTGATGTTGACAATTATTTTTCCAACAAGGTTTTTTTGGATTTATTTTACCTTTTTGAAGAATTGATTTTTACTCCACTTGTCTCAGTAACAAAATAGAGCGACATCCAAAATGAGGCCCGACAAAATGGAGTACGATTGAAAAGAGCTTCAGCGATTCTCTAAGAAGCTGGTGTTGAAACATTTGAATTTTTGTTTCTCTTCGAGGTCTTCATTACTTTTAATGTTGATTAGCGACCAATGACCAATGGCATCAATGTCGGTAATATTTCGGCATGTTTGGAAACGCCCATACGGGGAGGTTAATAAATCAATCAATTAAACAAAATATACTTTATTGTCGGAAAATAAATTTCATTGACAAAGCATGATCTTAAGTAACGTACAATTATGATAAAATTATCGGGTTATAAAAAAAGGTACAACCAATAAAAAGTTAACATTAACAGCCAGGTGATTAAAAATTTGCCTACTTTTATAAATAAGTGAATTTTGCTTCATTGCAGTGTGGAGTATAGGCAAGTATAGGAAACTGAATTTTAAGTTGTTGTCTAGTTGGTAAGTTGATAAGTTGTTGGATATTCTTACTCATCATAATGTTTTTTGTGCATAAAGCATGCAGTTTCCGTGATAAATATACAGCACACTGTGAGTATTTTATATGTTTTAAAAATAGTGGTTTGCAATGCTTCCAATATCCAACCTTACACAAATAACGAACTGCTCTCTCTTGAATGACAAAAACAGAATCAAACAATTTATTAGAACAGTTACCCCAAAATGCAACGCCATACCTGATATGTGATTCAACCAACGAGAAATAAACCACCTTAGCAGTATTTAAACTAAGTTCATTGGACGCCATTCTTACAGCATAGCCAATCACTTGTCAATTGTTTGTTCAAATTTGTTACGTGTTCATTACACTTAAGTTGAGTATCCAAATGAATACCAAGAAATTTACAGCTTGTCTTGTTTTCAATTGTGTGTGTGTCTAATATTAAATCATCAACAAATTTAATTGTCAGTATGTTGGTTTTCTTAGAGTTTAAACAAAGCAAGTTAGAGTCACACCAACTCTTTACAGCATTCAGATCCTCAGAAATAATCTTAACTCTCCACTATTTTTTCCTTTCCAGGACAGAGTAATATTATCAGCGAATGATGTTAATTTAGCCGTAATGGGGAGGTGATTATAATCATTTAAATAAAGTAAAAACAATATTGGTCCCAACACAGACCCTTGTGAAACAACATTGGTCACAGCTAAGTTTGATGACTGAGTATCACCAATTTTACCAAATTGTTCTCTTCCTGAGAAATAAGATTCAAACCATGAGTATAAGATTCCTCCGAAGCCATAGATTTCTAGCTTTATAAGCATTATTTTATGATTTACGCAATCAAAGGCTTTAGAGAAATCACAAAACACAATGGCGACAAGCTCATTTTCATTAAGACTGATGAATACCTATTCTAAAAGATTACACCTTTTTTTTTTAATTCTTCTAAAGATTTCATTAAGTTCCAATGTGTTTGTAGTTTCCAGTACAAATGTGTCATTTATTGTGACATCCAATAAATAAGAACAAGGATCCACATTACTTTTTAAGTTTTGTTGTAAAGTTTCAGCAACAGTATAGTAAAAGCTGTTAAGAATATTGGGATCTGGTTTAACATCTATTTCAAGAACTGAGTTTTTACCAGTTAACTGATTTTCTTTGCTTGCATTTTTCGAGGATTTTATTCTATTCTGGTAAAACCTTTCCTTTAGGCCAAACAATGGGTGGATTTACTTGGAAAAAAATACAGGAGTTTTAAAAATTTGCAGATTGGTACTTCTTTATGATCTGAATAACAAGTTAGGTTTGCGACCTCGGCACGCCGCCATATTGTAATAATGGCGCCCAAAATCGTTTTTTCGCAGTATCTTCTTTTCACTACGCCGTACGTAAATAATAATTATTACAAAAGTTGTAGGGGTGAAAATTCCCTACAACTTTGGTTCCATTCCATTTTTTCGTGCGATCAATAGTTTTGAGGAGTTAGATAGATATAAGTAAGGGCAAATTATTTAAATCGATGAAATACAGTTGCTTGCAGTCCGCTGCTGCTATGAAAGATGATGATAAATTTGAAGTGGCAAACTACACTTTTAATCAGGCTATAGAAGACGCCAAAATGTTGATTGTTAGGACAGCAATAACCTACTCGTACTTTTAGTGGCACCAGGAAAGACCATTTCTTAAAGCCTGGCAAGGGAAAAACTTTACTCTGCACAAAGTATAGAAGACCCAAGAGTAGCGGACAATATATTGTTTTACTGCCATTTTCGACCAAGGCAAAAACAAATTCCATAAGTTGATTACAAAATCTCCGGGATTAACTGTAACTGTTGAAGTGTTTAAGCAAGAAAGTGCAGTCGCCGACGTAATTTCAGCAGGACAAAACTTCTTGACTAAACTTCACGAAGTATCTCAAAAGAATATATCTCTAGAAATCCTCCGTTACCAGCAGTTTTCGAGATCGGCGACAGAGAGTAGGTAAATTTGATCTTGCTTCACTTCCTCCCACAGCCAGCAGCGGCCCAACAGCATTCATTCCAAACCTATCATCAAAGTGCAGACCTGGTGCGACGTTGAAAAACATCTGGAAGAATGGGGATGGAAAAGGAGTAGTAAGGTCCTTGGTCATTTGCATGTACTGTAACGGAGATTCTTGCGAGAACGTTTCTAAGATTTTTAACTGCTGATGAGTGATGACGAAGATCTACACGATATTTGTGTTAGAATCGGTCTGCTTAATTCATAGGAAACACAAAAGCAGTATATTCATATCGCATACAACCTATAATACTCGAGAGCAAAATGATGTTAGCCTTCCTATACCCACTTCCAGCTAGGTAAGAGACTCTTATCATTTTCAGAAGTCGCAAGTTGTTCAATAATTTGCCGAGGGGTCTTAAACAAATAAAGACTGAAGATTTTTTCACATGTTATGATTATGATTATGACATAGCGAGTAGTGATGTTAGTTAATAAGTTTGCTTTGTCAATAACAATTTAGTTAAGACAATAAAGCATAATTTGATTTGATTTGATTTGATATGATCCAACTGCCGACGTCCGATGTCAAGTACGAAGATTCTGGGTCCGGATTCCGAACCCACGATTCGATAGTATCGTCAGGTACGTACTTAATTCGCTTGACGATAGACGTTACTATCGAATCGTGAGTTCGGAATCCGGGAAAGAGAAAACAAAAGAGGTGGGCAACAAAGCCACTGTAGATGAAAGCAAACCTCTTGGCCCATCATGTTGGATACAAGTTCCAACTATTTTGGTTGCCATGTGCAACAACGCACCAGACCTGACAACTTCACATTTTTACTTGTCTTGATAATATTGATAAGATGTAAGAACATGAACATGTCGCTCTTCATTTTCTCAGGCTTAATTTCATGTTGTATAAGTTGAATGTAGGATTCGTACCTCATTCAAAAGCTCTACTTTCTGGGTATCTGTCCAGTGTGAAATGTGTTATAGTTATAACTTAGTGGAAGTGCGAAGGCTTTCATTTAACCCATGTGCGAGTTTGCATCCTACACATGCAGAAAATCGAAGCGGAAAGGACTATAAATGTTTATTAAACATATAAATGTGGATAAGGCATACCTCAGGGTGGTGTGAAAATGAGTAGGTATACGTAATAATTACTGATTATAAAATGAAAAAGATCAAGTGATTGTGCCACGCTATTGAGGAAGCATTATACAATTTTACTGAAACCCCTCAAGGCACGGTTTGTTAGGGCAGTGCGCGACGCACAACTCACATTCTGGTCGAACGCCGCGCACGTCTGCTTAAATCATCCGGGTGTAAATTATATAGACCAGAGCCGCTTTCCAGTATGCACATTGGCGCGCTCTGGCGCGCTCTAGAGCACCTCGGG